CTTTATTTTTCCAAACATAATTATAGATATTATTTTTACATATTATTGTTCTTTCAAATATATTTTGAAAACATTTCTAAATATAATACAAATAAACACATTCTGAATATTTAATATGTGTGGTGAATTTTATTTTAACCATTGCTCTAGTTTGGTTATAGCTTGAGTATGTCCCTCAAGATTCACATGTGACTCCCTATTGTGAGGGATTAAAAAACTGTAACTTATTTTTGATTATGGTATTTAAAGGTGGGTCCTTCAGGAGGTGGTACACTGAATGCTTCATGATTGAATACTAGTCACTTTATAGAAAGAGAACAAATCCCTTCTTCCTGTACCTACCATGTTAGGAGCACTAACATGCCAAGAGTCTACCAGCAGGAAGGTCATCACCACATGTGGCCCATTTCCCTTTATACTAGTACTGTGACTCAAAATAAACAACTTTTCTTTATAACATAACCTGGTGGTATTTCATTATAATAATGAAAACTGGACTAACACAAGCATTAAATTCAGAAGTGTCTTGGAAGTATTGAATTCATTATTTTCTGAAAACTCGTCTGTAATAGTTCTTTGTTTTTAATCCTAATCCAATAATTATGAGGACCTGCAAAAAAGCTACTTCATATATAAATTGACACCCCCCACACACACACCAGGAATTGAACTCGTGAGGCAGGCAGCAGAACCACAGAGCTAAATCGCCAGCACTAAATTGGCATTTTAAGGCATAAAATATCAGTATAGTCACTTAAAAATGTATGCTATTAAGGGGAAGTGGGAGGGATAGGGGAAAGGAAAGAAGGGAAAAGAAAACAAGATGAAAAAAATGGAAACAGACTTTGTTGATAGGGAGGAAAAGAGGGATTGAAGCGAGGGCAGGGGGATGGGAAAAAATAAGAACCAAGATTGATTATGAAAAGGTACAAATTTTCAACAATAAATGTTATTATATTGTATACCTTAAAAGTACCAATAAAATCAATTTTTTAAAAAAAAGTACACTATTTTTGGTTTATTCTTAAGAGGAATTGATCTATAGGAAAGTAAGTACACTTTAACTTGAAATAAATTAAAAAATTTCAGATTTTATTTAATATTATCTCTACAAATGTATAAACATGTTGAGAGCACTTTATATATCCTAGATAATAGTCCTTTATCTGAGGAACAGCTGGTAAAGTTTTTTTCCCACATTGTAGGTTGTCTCTTAGTTCCATTGATGGTTTCTTTTCAAATGCAGAGGCTTTTTAATAAGATGAGATCCCAGTTGTTGATTCCTTGTGCTAGTTCCCATGCTACTGAGGATATGTTCAAAAAGTCTTTTCCTATGCCAATGTTTTCAAGAGTTCTGCCTAGTTTATCTTCCAGCAAATTTAGTGTCTCTTTTTTTCAATAATTAGATCTTTAATCCACTTGGATTGTAGTTTAGTGCATGGTGAAAGATAAGGGTCTAGTTTTAATTTTTGGCAGTTGAAATCCAGTTTTTCCAACACCATTTATTAAAGAGTCTATCTTTCCTCTACTGAGGATGATTAGCTCCTTTGTTGAAGATGAGGTAGCTGAGTATATCTGGAGTTGTTTCTGATTCTTCCAGTCTGTTCCACTGATCCTCAGGTCCGTTTCTTTGCCAGTACCATACTGTTTTTGTCACAGTGGCTTTGTAGTATAGTTTCAAATTGGGAATTGTTATACCCACTGCTATGTCTCTGTTGTCTAGGATGGCTTTTGCTATTCTAGGTCTCTTCTGTTTTCAAATGAATTTTTGGATTTTTTTTTCTAGTTTTGTGAAATATACTGTTGGAATTTCTATTGGCATTGCATTGAATCTGTGTAGCAGTTTTGGTAATATGGCCATTTTCACTATGTTGATTCTTCCTACCCAGGAGCAGGGGATATCTTTCAGTTTTCTTATATCCTCTTGATCTCTTTTCAGAATGCTGTAGTTTTCAGTGTAGAGGTCTTTTGCTTCTTTTGTTAGATTCTTTCCTAGATACTTCATTTTTTTTTTTTTGGATGCTATTGTGAAAGGAATTGTTTCCCTAATTTCTCAGTGAATCTGTTATTTGTGCACAAGAGGGTTCAAAGAAATCAGCCCTCCAAATATAAAGACATGATTCAAAAATGGGTATCTGAAATGAACAGACATTTATCAGACAAGGAAGTAAAAGCATCAAGTAAATATATGAAAAAATGTTCCACATCACTGGCCATTCGAGAGATGCAGATGAAAACAACACTTAGATTCCACCTCACCCCCAAAGAATGGCTGCTATCAAGAAACCAACAAATAACATACGTTGGCAGGATTGTGGGAAGAAAGGAACACTTCTCCATTGTTGGTGGGAGTGCAGATTGGTGCAACCACTGTGAAAATCAATATGGAGATACCTCAAAGGGCTGGGACTAGAGGTTCCATTTGACCCAGCCATCCCTCTGCTGGGTAACTTTCCAAAAGAATTAAAAGAATCAACCCGCAGTATACACACACACACACACACACACACACACACACACACACACACACACACAGTTTGTAATAGCTAAAACTTGGAAACAGCCCATTTGGTCATCAGTTGGAGACTGGATAAAGAAGATGTGGTTTTTCTATAAAATGGAATACTACTCAGTCATAAAGAATGAGAAATGAGAGTCTTTCACAAGAAAATGAATATGTATTGAGGTTATACTTTTAAGTAAAATAAGTCTCACATGCGTGAATACTGAATAGTTTCTCTGGTGTGAAAAACTATAATTGTAAATAAGATCCTAATGGCACAATTGACAATGTGGAATAGGAAGAGAAGGGATAAAGGTGTGGGGGAAGTGGGAAGGGGAGGGGAGGGGAAGTAAGGGAATAGAAAAAAATATGAGAAAATGAAAATAAAGTTTTTCTAAACAGGGAAGGGATGAAGGGGTAAAAGGAGGGTGGGGGTATGGAGAGAAAATGAGAACCAAGACCTGTCATGTAAAGGTACAAGATCCCAGTGATGAATGTAACTGTACTGTATACCTAAAATGTACCAGTAAATGGCTCCTCATTTTCTTTATTTTTTAAAATTTGCCTTTGCTTGCATTTTATCATATGCTATTTTTAAGAAAATAACATCCATTCTCAAAATAGTTACCAGTTTGATGCGAATTCTAATTTGTTAAAAGTATTTCATGATACTTTTTCAAATATTAACCTCAATATATATGCTAAATAACAAAAAACTGTTGAGAGCATTAAAATATTCATACTAAAACACTATAAAATCTATTTTTATCAAAAATTCTCATTTAAAATTACACTGTCTCTGGACCTCACTTAGACCATATTGATCAAACTTGTATATTTAATTTGCTTGCTCTTGTAACAATTAATTCTACTTTTATTCATTTTCTTGGGGAAATACTTAAGTGAGTTTGCCAATTGATTATCAGTTGTTTATGATAGAAGAAAACAAAAGGAAAAATGGAGGAAATAATTCAGAAACATATGCCTTTATTAATAAGAATGTAGTTATATTGTATAATAATAAAGCATAAAAGTCATTAAATTTAATGCCAAGTATTATTTGTGGACACGATTATCAATAATAGCATATCATTAAGTTGAGAAAGCAAGGTTAAATCAAATCTATATGTTCCTATATTAGCTATATTATCTGTGTGTGTGTGTGTGTGTGTGTGTGTGTATAGAGAAAAAATATAGAAAAAATTAGTGGAATATGGAAACCATTTAAAGAGGATCTATTTGCATAATAAGAGCATATGTTAGTTACTCTTCCAGTCTTTTTCATTGTCCATATGTTTGATTGTCTAAAAATAATTTTTAATTTAAAAAACATTCAATGAAAATATATAAAATTTCTACAAAATAAAATGAAGCAAAATGTTCTTGTTCATAAATCATTATCAAAGACAAATATTTTAATATTTCTTTCATAAAAATAATAGAAGAAACAACATATTTGTATATAAGATCATAAGAAATAACTAAATAAACATGAATAAAGCAATAACAAAATCATTTTCTAGATACTTTGGTATAAATGAATCATGGTTTATACAGTAATGATTTAAATGTAAATAAATAACTTGTCTCATTTTCCAAATAGACTAGGAGCACATAATCAGACCTAACATAATAAAGTACTTTTAAGAAAGTCTGAAAAATGAACACAGTAATATTGACGGGTGAAATGTAGAGGAGAAAATATAGGAATGGGACTAGAATAAAAACCTGTGCTAGGAAACACTTCAACGTATTATACAGTCAGTGAGTTTCTGATCAATTAAGGCTACAAGTGCATCTTAATGGTTGATATAGTTCTCATGGTCTAATAACAAGAAGTGTAAGTTTATAAAAATAAAGAAAATTACTTTTCTGAAAAGTGAGAGACTAACAGGACACGGTCGACTACAAATCATTTAAAAACAGATTTTAAAGAGGTTTCTATGTTCTATACAAATGACTTTCACAATATAGCTATCTGGCAAAATCTTAAGGCATAACATTCAGCTGCATAGATAACAGACTTTCAGTCCTTTGAGTTATAACTTCCAGAATGTATGTTTGTACTACCGAAGTAAAGAGTGTAGATTACTAGAAAGTGACAGAATTACAGTAAACTAATTTAAAGGGTAGCAAAATATCCCTTAAATTCAGTTTGTAGCAGATATTAAAAATCTACACCATCTTAATTTGAATCATTAGCAAAACAACTGTATCAGGATATAAATTTATAAGAAATCCACGTATTTCCTTGCAGTTGAAAATATTAATCCAAAATGATATTTGATATTCAAATGAATTTGTACTTCTTAATTTTTGATTTATCAAAAAACTTTAAAGAACTTATAAAATGGTGCTAAAATAAATTACTTTGAACACTTTATTTTGAGCATATTTTCATAGGAGAAATTAAAACTAGCAATATTAATAAAATGAGAAAGAAAATATGCAATAAATGCAGATAATTATCTGACTTTAATTCAAAATATGACGATTATATTTATTGCTGTGAATATTATATCAAAACTAAGAAAATATATATAATTTTAACAGTAGAAACTGTGCCTATGTACAATAAACCTAAGATCCGTTTATTTTTCCTCAAAAGAAAAAAAATGGATTTGCGTGAAAAACAAATCATATTGCAAAATGTAATAAAATCAGCAGCCATCAGCGGGTTTGGCGGTCTCCTGGAGACAGTGCAGGTAAAGCTCTCCACTCCTCTGCACCTGGTGAGAAAGCTGCCCTCTCAGGGCCGCTGGGCCAGGGCGATGCTGAGGGGTTTGGAGCCCAGGAAGCGGCCGTTCATCTCGGTCACGGCTTTGGCAGCCTCCTCCGCAGAGGAGAAGCAAATCAAGCCGAAGCCCCTGCCGTGCCCTCCGGCCTGCATTACCTTGACTCTGCTGATAGACCCAAAGGACGAGAAGCCCTCTCGTAGCTGTTCCTCATCAACGGTGTCATCTAGGTTCCTAACATAGAGTTTCACTCCCTGGCACCCGCGGATTCTTTCCTTCTTCGTCTGCTCAAACTTCTGCCTCAGCTCAGCCTGTCGCTCTACTTTCTTTTGTGCCCTGCCCACAAAAACGAGCTGCCCGTTAATGTCTTTCCCATTCATTTCTTCCACAGCCTTTTTGGCGGCCTCGTGGCTATCAAAGCTCACGAAGCCGAAGCCCTTGGATTTCCCGCTGGAATCAGTCATCACCTTAACACTCAGGGTCTTGCCAAATCTACTGAAAACACCCTGGAGTCTCTCATCGTCCATGGCATTCCCAAAGTTCTTGATGTAAACATTGGTGAACTCGCTGGCTCTGCTTCTGAGCTCAGCCTCGCGATCCTTGCGGGTTTTGAATGGGGCGACAAACACCTGTCGGTCGTTGATCACTTTGCCGTTCATCTGCTCGATGGCGCAGTCCGCAGCGCTCTGGCTCTGAAAATGCACAAACGCGTAGCCCTTGGACCCCTGATCGTCACTCATCACCTTGGAGGACAGGATCTTTCCGAACCCCGAGAAGTGCTCGTAGAGGGTTTTGTTGTCTACGGATCTGTCCAGATTCTTGATGAACACGTTCCCAATTCCCGATTTCCTTAAGCAGGCGTCGCGTTGAGCCCACATGAGGCGGATGGGTCTGCCCTTGATCACGTCGAAGTTCATGGTGTCCAGGGCCCTCTGGGCGTCCGCCAGCTGCAGGAAGTTCACGTAGGCGTAGCCCAGGGGCCGGCGCGTGGCCAGGTCCCTGCAGATGCGGATGGACAGCACGGGCCCCGCGGCGCTGAACTTCTGGAACAACAGGTCCTCCGTGACCTCGGCGTGCAGGTCCCCCACGTACAGGGAGGCCAGGCGGTACTTGGCGGCCACGTTCATCTCCTAGCCCCAGGCTGTGCTGGGAAAGTCCTGCAAGAGCGGGGCTGGACCGCAGCTCCCGGGGAGTCCGGCGAGGGGGCTGGGATTACCCCTGGGGTGCACCCCCCCACGGCTCCTGCAACACCCTCACTCCGAAGCTGCCCGCGGTGGCCTCCCCGGGAAGTTGGCAACACGACTTAGAAATCTCAAAGAGCTTTTAGGACAAACCGTTCCTCCGGCCACAGTTTGCGAGGATCTTGCTGGGAAGCCCGGGTCGCTGGTTCCTGAATAAAACTAGGCCTCGCGCGCTCCGGCCGGTGTAAAGTTACAGCGCCCG